GGCACATGTCGATTAGACATTAGGCCTGTTGTATATGCGTGTGTGTGCGTGTGCGTGCACTCACCTAATTGTGGTTGCAGGGGTCGATACTCAGCTCCTGGCCCCGTGTGCGTGTGCGTGCGTGTGTGTGTGTGTGTGTGTGTGTGTGTGTGTGTGTGTGTGTGTGTGTGTGTGTGTGTGTGTGTGTGTGTGTGTGTGTGTGTGTGTGTGTGTGCTCACCTAACTGTACTCATCTAATTGTTGTTGCAGGGGTCGAGACTCAGCTCCTGGCCCCGCCTCTTCACTGATCGCTACTAGGTCCTCTCTCTCTCTGCTCCCTGAGCTTTGTCATACCTCGTCTTAAAGCTATGTATGGTTCCTGCCTCCACTACATCACTAGCTAGACTATTCCACTTCCTGGCAACTCTATGACTGAAGAAATACTTCCAAACATCCCTGTGACTCGTCTGAGTCTTCAGCTTCCAATTGTGACCCCTTGTTTCTGTGTCCCCTTATCTTTCCCATGCAGTATTTCGTGTGTCGTTATCATGTCTCCCCTGGCCCTCCTGTCCTCCAGTGTCGTCAGGCCAATTTCCCTCAACCTTTCTTCGTAGGACATTCCCCTGAGCTCCGGAACTAACCTTGTTGTAAACCTTTGCACTTTCTCTAATTTCTTGACGTGCTTGACCAGGTGTGAGTTCCAAACTGGTGCTGCATACTCCAGCATGGGCCTGACGTACACAGTGTACAGTGTCTTGAACAATTCCTTACTAAGGTATCAAAACGCTATTCTCTGGTTTGCCAGGCAGCTATATGCTGCAGCAGTTATTTGATTGATGTGTGCTTCCAGAGACGTGCTCGGTGTTATGCTCACCCCAAGATCTTTCTCCTCGAGTGAGGTTTGCAGTCTTAGTCCACCTAGCCTATACTCTGTCTGCGGTCTTCTTTGCCCTTTCCCAATCTTCATGACTTTGCATGTGGCGGGGTTGAATTTGAGAAGCCAATTGCTGGACCATGTGCCCCGTCTGTCCAGGTCTCTTTGTAGTCCTGCCTGATCCTCATCTGATTTAATTCTCCTCATTAACATCACATCATCTGCGAGGGACACTTCTGAGTCTATCCCTTCCATCATGTTATTCACATATACCAAAAATAGCACTGGTCCTAGGACTGACCCCTGTGGGACCCCGTGTGTGTGTGTGTGAATTCCATCCAGTAATATCTATCCCTAATTCCATCCATCATCAATTCCAACCAGTCATACAGATCTTTAAATTCGACCAGTTATATAATGTATATTGCCAATTTCATCCAGTAATACCTATTTCTAAATTCGACCAGTCATATCCATCAGCAAGATCTCACTGCTAATCACTAGTGACCATGGATTGGACATGGGTCTTTTTTTCTTCTTCCATCTAGGTGCGTAAAATGTTAACAATTTCATGTACTACATTTTTCAACACTGTATTCACCTGAACTATTCAGTACTGTAAGCTGGCTGTGTTCTATGTAAAACATTTACTTGCAAGTCTGCATTTCTTTTATTTAAATGCAAACAAAGCATTCACTAAACCATTAGAAACCAAAAAGTTGGGTACAGCCTGAGTGTGGCTAATGGTGTCGCCCCTGCTATATTAAGAGAACAATCGAGACAAGTCACATTAGCCCTTACCTTGTTTGTCTTGACCCAATACAACTGCGAATGGAAACTTGGCTAATATGCAAATGATGCATTTTTCTCTCTCTCTCGTTATTTGCGTGATTAGTTGGGCCTCTTAAACATTTTGTCCAATGCAATGACAAACACACGGAAAGACAGACATAGATAGACATTGGAAGTGGTATACCCTTGAGGACGAAGTAATGAAGGCGGGATCTACACGTAGTTTTAATAATAGGTTTAACAAGGTCCATGAGGCTCGGAGTAAGTACATCCAATAACCGGAAAGTTAAGTCAGGGGCAGAAACTGAGACTCGACCCTTGCAACCACAAACAGATGAGCAGAGGCCTCCGCCCCCTTACACATTTAATGTAGGGTGCCACTGATAAATCAATATATTACATAAGTATTCGCATCTGAAAGGTCAGCAGTAGTAGCAGGAGCCTAGCACTATGACAACGCAGATTTGGGCCTTCAATATTTACTTCTCATTTTTTTCCTCCCGATTGGCTCTTTGAGTTTCCACACTTCCTTCACATTACTAGAGGTACTTTACACACTATTTATCATTGAATATCGGCAGATTTGAACTCTTGGACAAGACGACTGGCTTTCAAAGCGAATCAACACTGACACAACCAGGGAATAATTACGAGTACCTTTTTAAGGTTGATATTTCTCTCACGGTGTACGAGGACCAGCTGTTGAGTGAAACCCTATCTGAACGTGGCAGGATGGGTGGGGAGAGGGAAGGTAGGGTAGGCAGCGGTGAGCGGCAGGGACAACTGAAGTGAACGAAGTCCAGCGAAGCGAACTCAAGAGGCTGGCCAGCCAGCACTGTGGCCGTCCTGGGTGGAGTACAGTCACCAGGAACCAGTTCTTAACCTACACAACTCCTAACATACGTATATTTAATTCTGTGGTTTTGCAAGTGTAGAATGAAACACTGTATGTACCTCTTATATGATAAACAATATTAGAAGAAAATCCCTATTCAGCGCTGCAAACCAAAGAGACAGTGCACAACCCGCACCAATAACCTAAAAAGGCTTCCTTCTACGTCATGAGAGTATCAGCCTCGGGAAACGATATGCACGCTGGAATTGGAAAAATCGCCACTACATAAGGATATATTAACTCACGTTGCCGCAGGCTCTGATGGGATACACAGATACCAGTTTGATAATTAAAGAGAGGAATGTCAGCGCGGTATATCTGATATATAATGCGGAGACGTTTTCATGAATATTAATACAACCAATGCATTCTGTAACTTATCAGTCATCCCAGATGTCATTTCTTTGGATTTTTTTTTGTTAGTTATTAGTTTTCGGAAGTATAAATTGAAACAGAAAAATACTGAGTCTTTTTATTTGCCACCATTATACTGTTATCTCACAAATTACCGTTACCTTCCCTTGTGTTTTGCTGCTGTCTTAAGACATAAAATTACATGAAAGCTGACTGAAAACAATCGTATTTAATAGTTTATTTTCACCTCCACTAGCAAAAACCTCATCAAACGGACGTCCTTTAATACGCAGCTTAACATTACGGTGCCACAGGTAGAATGTAGATTGCAATTATCATTATGGTGCAATCGGTAGATGTTAAAAGAATGATTTTTTTAACAAAGCTGAAATGTGAACTTTTTATACGCAGAAAAATGTCCTTCAGTAATTAAGTAGGTGGTTTCATCATTATTATGTTTACGGTATTATTATTATTATTAGTAGTAGTATATTCGTGACGAAGTGCTAGAATCATAAGAATCGTCGAACGGGTTCTGATGAGACGCAATCATCCTGATCAGTGCAAGTATACAGCCCCAGCTTCTTAGGTGCAGCATTTTCAGATCTACGAAACACTGATAAGACAAAAGCGGAGTGCACCTTTAAACACAAACACAATACTATACATAATATTATATCTCAAACTTGCATTCATTATTAACCTTAATCACATTAATGACTAGGAATATATTTCACAACAAATGAGCGAATGCTGCTGCAGTGACAAGAATATTAGTACAATTACCAAACGCTGTAACAACGTCACAAACAGTTGTAACAGCATCGTAAACAATGGTAACATCATTCAAAATTCGGTAATATCAGTGTTATCATACAAAATGAAGTAACAACTCTCAGCGGTTATATATGAAGAACAAGCAAAATCAAACCTCAATAATAACAGTAATATGAAGAACAGAAGTAACAGCAGCAGCAGTAATAGCATCAATATTAGCAATCGCATCAACAACTTCAACTGCAGCATAAACAAAATTAGCAACAACTCAACAACAGCAGTAACAGCATCAACAAGAGCAACAGAAGTAGCATCACTGAAGTCGAGTAATAACATTATCAGGACAAGAATAACTGCGACAGAAGCAGCACTCAGGTAAATACTAACAACAGTGACGTTATCAATACCAACAACGCTGCCACCAGAACCCAGATCAGCAACAAGAGCACCAGTAACATAAAACAGCACTGATAACATCAGCACCCTTATAAACAACTTCCTGCATTAAGTAGAAGGAATACTTGAGGGCAGTGGCTTCCCAGAGCGGAGAGCCGCCGCCCTGCCCTGTGGGAACCTTACTACCCGAGCCTAATTGCCCTGGCAGAGCGGGAACTGGTTAGCAGAAGGTGCTACATTAACTAGTTCTTCCTACCATGTACATCCTTCCCTGCTTCACCTGATTTCAGATTACTGCAGCGGTTAACAGAATATATTAAAAATGTAATATAGATTTTCCCTGAGAAGTTGTCGTAACAAGGGGAGGGTAATGGGTTAAGTGGTAGAGCAGAAGAGAGAGTGTGAAGAAAAGATGCTGCCACATACATTATCATATGTACCTCTCGTCAAGTTTTTGTTCACCACTCACGGTCCCTTGCCAAATTATGATAAGAGTTTTTCATCCTTGTACATGTTCTTGCACACGAGTCTGAGTTATGGTAAGTGCGTGTTTACAAGTCTTGAGGTTGTTTTGGGGTTGACAGAGAAGGGAATGAGCACACGCAACTGCTTCCGAGTCTTATCAAGCAACTATGTTTCAGTAATACTCAAGGATCTCTAACTTTCTCATTTACTTCCACATTTAAATTTCTATTGTTCATTACGCACGTTACATTTTCATGTAATTATCGGTCTCAGCACTGTCACAATTACAGATCACGCAAAACTAAAGTCAAACCTCACCGTTTCATAACCACCTACTTCCTAATAATGATTTGTTTTCACTTTTAGGAGATCATACAAATATATTTATGAAAGCATGACGCATTAAGTGCTTCATAGACAACGTTTACAACACACAAACGCGCATGCAACATATCCCCAAGTCCGCACCAAGACGAGAGTCCGAGGAGTGACCAGGGAGGAGCGCGTGTTAGGGACGCAGGGACCACAGGCGTCCACGCTGCCTGACGGAGCGGGGGTCACAAGGGAACTGTGCGTGCCCACTGTGGTCTTCCCTGCCACCCGCCCCGGCCCCGCCCGTCAATGCCTGTGTGGGCGCGGGGGCGGCACTCTCACACTATCAAAGGTCACCTTAAGGAATGCGCCCGACACTAATCATGTCAGCTTAAGAAATAATGAGCATCTAGGTGACATCAGGTGTTTGCACTAGCAACGGCGTATACGTAAGTACTCACCAATCTGTAGACTATTGTGACTGCAGGTGCTGATTTATAGTGATTCTTAAATGCTATCGATCGTCTTTACTGATTATCCTACATACAGGGGACCGATCATAAAAACGCTTCAAATTACACTTAGCTGACTCCATCGCCACTTTATATAGTTCGTTCTAAGTCCAGGTAATACGACTCTCTGACTGGGAAAAAAAAAAAAAAACACTTCTTAAGGTCCCTGTGGCTCGTCTGCGCCTCTAGTTGCCATCTGTGTTCCCGGCTCCATCTCCACGTACCTAGCTAATCTGACTATTCTACCGAGCGCTTTCTATGCTACTGTTATTTCTCCCATGGTCCTCCCTTTTATGTTGTTAAGAATCAATCTCTTCGCGAGCCTTCAGAGTTTTATCAAATTTCTTTACATACCTGATCAGGTGCGAACTAAATGCTGGAGGTTTTTAATATGCTGCTGACTGATATGCTGTTAAGGTGATATGCTTGGTTCAGGCTTCTTCTAAGTTGTGTTCCTCGTTCAGTTTTCTTAATGCCTTTCTTTTTCCATTAGTCATTTGTCTGACATAAGCAGCCTGTTCAGGACTTAGACTCTAGTCTGCTTGCCCTCTCCTCTGTCATTAGTTTCACATTATTAATAAACAGTTTTATATGGGATTCAATTTCCTCGGTCAGGTCATTTCGTTTAAGTACATGAAGAACAGCAGCTATTCAAGTATTGATCCTTGGGACACCACTCATCACATTCGCCTAGGCAGACACCTTCTACCTTCCTTCTTTCCCTTCTATTCTCCCATGAATTTCTGTATTTACTTAACACCTTCCCCGTTACTCCTATCTGCATTTCCAGCTTGTATACAGGCCCTTGGCGTGGTGACTCACGAAATCGTAATGACACGATTGCAAACAAACCATACCACGGGTGGGGTTTGATCCTGTGGTCAGTCTCAAAACTCCAGACTGTCGCGTTAGCCACTGGTCCAGTGGCTAACGCGACGGTCTGGAGTTTTGAGACTCTCTGACCGCGGGATCAAACCCCACCCGTGGTATGGTTTCCTTGGCATGGTACTATGTGAAATGCTTTCTTACAGTCTACTCATCCCTGTCTTTCCAACTATACCTGGAGAGGGTTCTGGGGGTCAATGCCCCCGCGGCCCGGTCTGTGAACAGGGCTCATGGTGAATCAGGGCCTGGTCAACCAGGCTGTTACTGTTGGTCGCACGCAACTCGACGTACGAACCGACAGTCTTGGGCCCCTGACACTTATTGTGTTGTTTCTTATCGTGCTAGTGGCACCCCTGCTTTTCATTGGGGGGATGCTGCATTGTCTGCCGAGTCTTTCGCTTTCATAGTGAGTGATTTTCGTGTGGAAGTTTGGTAGTAATCCCTCAAGGATTTCCCAAGTGTATATAATCATGTATCTCTCCCGCCAGCATTCTAGGGAGTACAGGTTTAGGAACTTCAAGCGTTCCCAGTAATTGAGGTGTTTTATCGCAGTTGTGTGTGCCGTGAGGGTTCTCTGTACATTTTCTAGGTCAGCAATTTTACCTGCCTCGAAAGGTGCTGTTAGTGTGCAGCAATATTCCAGCCTAGATAGAACAAGCGATCTGAAGTGTCATCATGGGCTTGGCAACCCTAGTTTTGAAGGTTCTCATTATCCATCCTGTCATTTTTCTAGCAGATGCGATTGATACCATGTTATGGTCTTTGAAGGTGAGATCCTCTCCTCTGGTTGGAATTTGTTTTACACTCCGATGAAGTTTTAATTTCCTCACGTTTTCCATATCAGAGTAATTGAAATTTCTCACCATTGAACTTCATATTGTTTTCTGCAGCCCATTTAAAGATTTTGGAGTCTTGCGGTGTCTTCAATGGGGGATACTGTCATACAAATTCGAGTGTCATCTGCAAAGGAAGACACGGCGCTGTGGCTTATATCCCTGTCTATGTCAGATATAAGTATGAAGAACAAGATGGGGGCGAGTACTGTGCCTTGTGGAACAGCTTTTCACCGTAGCCGCCTCAGACTTTACTCTGTTTACTACTACTCTTTGTGTTCTATTTGTATTTATGTTTCTGTCACATAACTTTAGGAGGTTCCTAAAACAGGACTTGCTATCTCTGAACCAGTGCTGGTTGTTCCTTATGTGTTCATTTACTTTTTTATGATCTACTTCTCTTTCTTGTTATCGTGTTTAGTACTACACTCGGAATGCTTGTCAGCAAAACTGGTCTTCTGGTTAGTGTTTCTTATATATATATTTTTTAATGTCCATGGGAATAACATTTGTGATTTTCTTCACTATGGTATGAGGTTGCATAGAAAATCTGCTCACCCTCGCAGTACCCAATTTAACCTGATTAATTCCAATTCATTTGCTCGCCACTTTCTTACCCTTCTCTTGGCGTCTCCACTGATTACTTGGTCAAGACCATTTTAAGCGTATTCAGTATGTTGCATACGTATGCATTCCTACCATCCTTTGTCGATTCACCCACCCTACGCTCTTCTCTTTAATCTTAAGTGGCTGTGCATCATCTATTTTATGTTTTTTTCTGCTTTTTTCTCTTAGCCTTGCATACCAATTCATAGCACTTCTTCTTAGTACTCTATTATCTGCAAAAGGCTCTTTTATGTTTTGTAATCCCGTTCCTTCTGGTGGCATAAATTTCTCTGTAGCTTCCTTGCATATTTTTATTAGGTTTTCCATTATTTCATGTGCTATCTTACTTCCCATTTCTCTCTCCCATTGCATGCATGTGTGTGTTATCCTACTTTTAAACATACACTCATCCTAGAACTCAGTGTATTATATCTTAAGCACAATCAGATATGTCTTATGTAACACGAGAAGTCATCCAGTTTTACAGATCTCATAAATTCTTTAACCTGACGCTTACATCATTAATAAACGTATTTATTCAATTCAATTCAAGTTTATTCTCTATAAGGGTTACAATGTGGGGTTTACAGGTTTTGGGTATTGTGTGGTTTATATGTTATAAAATACTAATTACAGAGGGGGCCACTAGGACACCTAGCCTGGCTAGGCATTTCGAGCAGACTTAGATTAATTCTTAACATTAAATCCTTACAGATTATGGTATTAAGGCTAAGTGACTACATCATAATTTGTGAGTTTAGCAATGTGAATGCTTTTGTTTTGGCACAATACAAAGTGTCTATATTGGAGTATCATAGGCAAACTTATGACTAGTTAGGATTTATTATTTTAAGATTAAGACTAGCATTTCTGGGTTTATAGTCAGTGGGTGAGTGAGTGTAATTGTGAACCACCAGGTGGTTATCATGCAGTTAGTTGTCGGGGTGGATCAGGGAGATAAGATGTTTTCTAACTGTAGTTTTGAAAGTGATGAATGTGTCTGCAGTTCTAGAGTTTTCAGGTAGGGTGTTCCAGATTTTAGGTCCTTTAAAATACATTGAATTTTTGTAAAGGTTTAGTCGAACACGGGGAATGTCAGAGATGTTTGTGTCTGGTGTTATGCCTGTGGATCCTGTCACAACTATAAAGAAAGCATTTTAGGTCAAGGTTAATATTGGAATTTAAGGTCCTGTAGATACAGATTGCACAGTAGTAATTGTGGATGTTCTGGATAGGGAGTAAGTTTAGATCTATGAAGAGTGGGGGGGGGGGGTGTTGCCAGGGATGGGATTTAGTGATTATTCTTACTGCGGCTTTTTGTTGGGTTATTATTGGCTTTAGGTGTGTTGCTGCAGTTGAACCCCAAGCACAGATAGCATAGGTGAGGTATGGATATATAAGTGAATGGTATAGTGTGAGAAGGGCAGTTTGCGGCACGTAGTATCGTATCTTGGAGAGGATCCCCACCGTTTTGGATATTTTTTTTATGTTGGATATGGGTGCTGAAATTTAGGTTGTTGTCGAGGTATAGGCCAAGGAATTTGCCCTCATTATGTCTGACAATTAGAGTGTTGTCGATCTTAATGTTAAGTTACGCAACACCTGCTCTGCTACCAAACATAATATAGTAGGTTTTGCCAGTGTTAAGTGTAAGTTTATTGGCTGTCATCCAAGTCGATATTTTGAGCAGCTCCTCGTTAACAATGGTGTTGAGGGTGGCAAGATTAGGGTGGGAGATGACATAAGTCGTGTCGTCAGCAAAGAGAATGGGTTTCAGGTGTTGGGATATGTTTGGAAGATCATTGATGTAAATGAGGAAGAGCAGGGGTCCAAGGACACTTCCCTGCGGAACTCCAGTATCAAGTGGCCGTATTGATGAGGCTGTGTCTTTAATGGTGACATACTGATACCTATTAGAAAGGTAGGATTTAAAATATGCAAGCGCATGGCCTCTTATACCATAGTGGTCAAGTTTGTGGAGTAGGATGCCGTGGTCTACTGTGTCAAACGCTTTTCTTAGGTCAATAAAAATTCCTAGCGAATATTCCTTATTTTCCAATGCTGTGTAAAGCAGGTCTAGCATTTTTATAATTGCATCATTAGTGCTTTTATTTTTCCTGAATCCAAATTGGCAGGGGTTGAGTACGTTTTGTGACGTTATAAATGAATATAGTCTCCTGTGCACTAGTTTCTGGAAGATTTTGGAAAGCAATGGTAAGTTTGATATTGGCCTATAGTTGTTTACGTCTGTAAGGTCACCACCTTAGAAAACTGTCTTGTTCAATACTCAATTAAGAGAACTTCAAGTCTGTGACGTCAGTGGTGGGCAGAAAGAACCAAAAATGGAAGAATGGTGATGAAGTAGAGGTCCACAGTGTTGTGAATGGCTAGGCCTACCTGGACTACCC